TCTATTAAAGAAGGAACACCTGGATCCTGAGAAATCTATAGCTCTCCAGCAATCAAACATCTGGCACATCACATTCGGAAAGCAGCTGGATCCTGCCAGTTCTTTAGATAGACACTGGATTTTTTCTGGAATATTCTCAGAAGAGGACAAGGAAATTTACCTTCCTTTGCTGGATATTTGGGGATTTGGCACAAAAATGGGGTGAGCTGAATGTGGTCTGTCTTATCAACTCGTGGATCCAAAACACAGTCTTCAGGGATATTTGTAGACTTATGACAGGGTGACGCTCCAGCCTAAGCTCTGATATTTTAATCACTTATTTCTCTGTCTTCTGTTAGGTTTGTTCTTTCTGATTTGCAATTCACTTCAACAATAACTTTGTAAAGACTGACCTAATAGTCTGACTTGGGGTACACAGGGTGGAGGGTAGGACTTGGAGAAGGACAGGGGGCAGTGAGGAAGATGATATGAAGAGGAAGCTCCTCTCCATCATCCAATAGGTTAAAGGCTCCATAGGAGACGGAGGTAGCCAAAGGGTAAGGCTGGGACAGTGCTTGGCAGAGTGTGGAGCTGTTGCCACCAGTGGGGATGGAGAGTGATTTGGGGATTTCAGAGGGGAAAACCTAATGATTTTGTGTTTTAAATACCCGTCTCCCACTAAGGAGATAAAGGGACAGGTCACTGGGAAGGTCAATGTATAGAAAGTCAGAGGAGGGAATCCCCATGAGCTGGGCAGTCAGAGGGGATGACAAGGAAGACCTGAAGCCTCAAGATGGCCAGGATCTCACCAGAGACCCAAAGTCCAGGCCAGGGAATGCCAGCTGGGGTGCAGTGTAGGACAAAAGACCTGTCCTATACAGTGGCAGATGGAAGACCTGCACAACTGTGGCTTTCCAGGGTCAGCTGGGCTGTCCAGACAGCCTTGGATGGAAGACCTGAGTTGAAATGTCATCCCGGATGTTTCTTCCAATTGCCCCTGATGCCCACAGCTTCAAGACTTGCCTCTTTCCTGGATATTATACAGGTATCACCTTGGTGCCATCAACTGGATTAAAACCCGCAGATGTCACAGGACTAGTCTGAAATCTCCTGGCTTTTAGCCAAGGCCTCCCCCACATTGATTTCCCTAGCTTACTCCCTGGGGTTCTGAAGATTCTCCAGTGCTAGAGAGCCCCAGAGGGCAACACCAAACTGGCCAGTGGTCCCTGTCCTGTGGTGATCTCTGAACAGAGAACCCCTGGTGCTCTACAGGATCAGGTAATCATCCACTAGCACACTTCAGAAAAGACCAACAAATCACTCAATCAAAAAGGGGACAAAGAATTTAAATAGACAATTCTCTAAAGACATATGAATGATCAAGAAGCTAACGCAAAGATGCTCAACATAATTACTAATCACAGAATTGCAAATCTAAACCATACAAAATACCACTTCATACCCACTAGCATGGCTAAAACTAAAAAGACAGTCAATAATAAGTGTTGGTGAGGATGTAGAGAAAGCAGAACTCTCACACATTCCTGGTTGAGTTGTACAACGGTATGGCCACTTTAGAAAACAATTTGGTGGGCTGGGGTTATAGCTCAGTTGGTAGAGTACTTGCCTCGCAATCACAAGGCCCTGGGTTCAATCCCCAGCACCCCCACACACAAAAAAAAATAAATTAAAAAAAAATGGGAAAGGATTTGAATAGACAGTTTCCAGAGGAAGATATACAAATGACCAAGAGCAAATAAAAAATGCTGAACATATTTCAACACAAAGAATTTATATATGTCTGAAATGATAGCTATGCCAGTTACCCTGACCTAATCATAATGTATTAAATGCTTTTACTGAAATGTCAAATTATATCCCATAAATATGCACAATTGCTATGTGTCAGTTAAAAATAAAAAAGATTTTTAAGAAAAGAAATAAACAATTTGGCAGTTCCTGAAAATGTTAAACAGGATTATTGCATGACTTAGCAATTTCATGCCTAGATATATGCCCAAGAGGAATAAAAATATACCTCCACTCAAAAAAATCTGTATACTTGTAATATTTGTAATAGCCCCAAAGTGGAAACAACCCAAATATCCATCAACTGATGAACAGAAAAACCTAATGTGGTATAACCATAGAACAGAATATTATTAAGCAAGAAAAAGTGAATGAAGTACTGATACCAGCTCTAGTATGGATGAACTTTGGAAATATGCTGATTAAAGAAGCCAAATACAGAAACAACAACAACAACAAAACAAAAGCCCACATAAAATGTGTTTATGGGGCTGAGGGTCTAGCTCAGTAGTAGAGGGCTTACTTAACATGTACAAAGCTCTGTGTTCAAATCCTAGTACAGCAACACACACACACACACACACACACACACACACATATATATGCATACATACACACAGTGATTATTTCTATATTAAATGTCCAGAATTGACAAAGCTATGGAATGTAGATTACAGTAGCCAGGGCTGGGGAGAGGGAGAAACAAGAAATTGATTGCTAATGTGCGTGGACTTCTTTCAGAGGTGATGGGAATGTTCTGGGACTAGACGGTGGTAACAGTCATCCAACCATCTGAATAAACTAAAATGCATTGAGTTTTATGGTATAGGAATTATTATCTCAATAAAACCAATTTGTACTTTTTAAGTACAAATCAGATCATCTCGCACTCCAGTTTATATGAATGGCTTCTCGGTATTTCTAGAATAAAACCAAATTCTTCACACACACACACAAAAAAAAAAAGAAAGAAAAGAAAAGACAGAAAGGAAGGAAGGAAGAAAAGATGAGTTCATAAACAGATTCCAATCCAAGCAGCTCTGCTAACAGACTGGTTGCCAATCAAGGTCTCTGTGCCTTAGTTTCCCCTGCTTTAAAGGGGCATTATAAGGGAGCATACTTCTCTGGGTAGCTTCATTAGCTACAGAAATCCAGCCAGACAATCATTTGTCCCCCCTTTCCCACACAGACCTGGCTGGGACAAGAACTGTTTCTGTTCTGTTTTGTTGTTTGGGGGGTTGTTTTATTTCATTTTTGACTTGTAGTGCTGGGAGACACCAGAGCTCTGTTCTAAGCCAGCTTCCTTTAATCCATTCCTTGAGCCAAGGCCTGAACCCCAATGCCATCACAGGCTCAAAGCCCTGTCTGCTGGACATCATGGAGACAGAAGCCCAATCCCAGTGCAGTTGGGATGGAGGGATGGAGGAACTGGGTCCTGCACCCATCATGCTCATTAGAAGGGGCTTCCAACACTTACTGCAGCCTTCTTCCTCTTTCTATCAAACTGGCAAAGGCTCCAGGAGATTATGGCTTATTAGCCTGTGGCCCCATAAGCCCACCTCATCCTTCACCAACCTGTTTAACGGAACTGAGGTGGGAAGGAGAAGACCTATTTCTCCAGAGGCCTTGTTAGCCCACCAGCTAATCCTGGGCCACCCTTATTCCCAGGCCTGTAAACACAGAACCCCAGAAGCTACCATGCCTTCCTGACCACTGGCCATGATGACTACATGGACCAGGACTGAACGGGGAACTTCAAGAAAGCAATTGATGCTGGCACCTGTTATGTACCAGACCCTTCTCAAACATGATTTCATTCGAGCTGCCACTAGCCCTATTCTTATCTCCATGTTGCAGGTGACAAAACCAAGGCTCATGGTATGTTACATTGGGGTACTCTGGATCTCACAGCTCTTAATAGTGAAGTTTCACTGAGTGATATAGACCAAATGTTTATATCCCTCCAAATTTGTTCGCTAAAAACCTGACAATATTTGTTGGAAACAAGGAGCAGGGCCCTTGGGAGGTAACTAGATCATGGTATGGCACTCTGAGGAATGTGACTAAGTCCCTTATAGAAAAAGACCCAGAGTGCTGCTTTTGTCTTGTGAGGATGGAGGGAGAAGCCACCTAAGAAGCAGGAAACAGGCCCTTCCCAGGCATAGAATTGCTTGGAGCTTTGATCTTGGACTTCCCAGCCTTCAGAACTGTGATATATAAATTTCAGTTGTTTATAAGCCACCCAGTCTCAAATATTTTTTATGATACCCTGAAAGAATTAACACACCTCGTGTCTCTTTGGGCCCAAAAGGAAAGCAGCCTAGAGAGACCCAACCCAAAGACAGTTTCCTGAAGCCCCAACACACACTCCAGCCAGGCACCCCTGCCTAAGGGTGGAAAGGCACTGGGACTCCCTGCAAATCCCTCCCGGAGACCATCAGGCAATGCTGAGTGACAGAGAGGCGGGCCTTAGGCCCCTACTCAGAGGAGAGAACTGCTGTAAGCTTTCGAAAAAGCCTTTACAGAGAGGAAAAAGGCCCAGGACCAGAGACTCTGGACAATGGGAATAACCAGCCATCATGTTTCCCAAGCTGTGTGACAATGAGAAAATCCCTCCTCCTCTTGGACCTCATTATCCCCACCTGTCAAATGAAGACGACCTCCCAGGATGAAGCTGAAGTCCAGAAGCATTGTCTCACACATGAGCTTTTGGGGACACCTCATATCCAAACCATAACTCCTACAGCCCCATGCCATCCTTCCCCTCCTCCCACCAGAGTTTTAGTTACATGTTTATCTAGCATCTGGTTATTTTCTCCACTGGATCTATGACATCTACAAGGGCAGGGACTGTCCCTGCTCACTACTGAATGGCCAGCACCAGCCCTGGGCCTGACACACAGTAGACACTCAGGAGAAATTCATTAAACATAGTGGAAGAAACCAGAGGTGGTGTTCCGGAAGCCCTCCAGAGGCAAGTGGTGTTCCCTTCACCAGGAGTGGGTGGGTATGGCAGAGGTGGCCAGAGCATGTTGTCTGGTACCCACTGGCCATGGTGACCATATAGTTTGGGCTCTGATCCACCAAAGAATGAAAAACCCATACTCTAAGCAGCAATGATTCTTCATCAACAATTCTTTGCCCTGGATAGATGGCCAAGCTGGCATTCAAGGAAGTCGGGGAAATTATTGCCCTGCTCAACATCACGCCAACCCCATTTCCCCACCCTCTACTGTGGTTTGGTGATTAGGGAGTTTGCCTGTGGCTCATTCTCCAGCACAGGAGCTCAGACGAGCCGCATTCTTCCTCCAGTTCGCACATGGAACCAAAACATCCTGAGCCTGGTTTTACTTTTCCTCATAAGCCCTTGTGCTTCCACGACTGAGGGTCCTTCTGAAATCCTAGAGTCTGTTCCCACGTGGTGTATTCCATACACAGCCTGAAGTGGGATTACAGTAGAGATAAATAAAAGATTAGTTTCCGAGTTTCAGGACTAAATAAAGGATCGGATTCTTGGTGATTGGGAGATAAAAGGAATTTGGGGTTTGTTCATGGATGATCTGATTCAGAAGCAGTTGGGGACAGAGGGTGGGTCCAGGAGCTCAGTTTTCCTTGTCTTTTTGTGGGTCTCTCTTGCTGCCCACCCTGGCCATCTGGTTTCACTTGTGAGACAGGCTGCATAGGCCAGGGCAGCAGGAGACCAAAGGGAGACTAATGGAGAGCCGACAGGCTGGGTATTGAAGCAGGGATGGCTGAGAACAGGAGGGTCTTCCACATCCCCTTGGAATGCAATGTCCAGAGAATGTCCACTTCTATGGAAGGCATCTGCCCAACAATCTTGAATCTCCAGAGCATCACTAACAGTCTAGGACTAAGCAAAAGTAGTCTTCTGGCATGGATGTATTTACTCCTATTTTCTATACAGGTTTAACAGTGTCTCGTATGTGCCGAGATTTGGTGATGGGATTTGCTGATGGATTTGGTGGAGCAATTTAGAAGGTAAAGTACAAAAGAGTCTCTGGAGCAGAGATAGTTAAGCATCTGAATGGAGAAGGAAAACTCTAAAAAAAGAACTCCAACCAGGCTCAGTGGTGCACGCCTGTAATCCCAGTGGCTCCGGAGGCTGAGGCAGGAGGATCACAAGTTCAGAGTTAGCCTCAGCAACTTAGCGAGGCCCTAAGCAACTCAGCGAGGCCCTAAGCAACTCAGCGAGACCCTGTCTCTAATAAAGTATAAAAAAAGAGCTGGGGATGTTGCTCAGTGGTTAAGCATCCCTGGTACCAAAAAAAAAAAAAAAAAAAAAACTTCATTTGGGCATCATGGCACACAACTGTAATCCCAGCTGAGGCAGAAGACCAAAAGCTGGAGTACAGCCTTGGCAGCTTAGTGAGTGAGTGAGACACTGTCTCAAAAAAAAGAAAAGGCTGGGGATGTAGCTCTATGGTAAAGTGCTCCTGGGTTCGATCCCCAGTACCACAAAACAAACAAAATAATAATAATAAGGAAGCCCTGGCTGTGGACCATGGAGTGGTCTCATAACCAGGGGAATATCAAGCTGTGCCTGTCAAGCCCTGTTTCTGAAGATGGGGGAGTCCACATGCCTCCCCACAGGGGCTAAGTGTCTCCTCTCATAAAGCACAAGCATTCAGCTAGCTGGAATTTTAATGCCTGTAGAACATATAATGCCCCAGGATCTTGGGATAACCCAGGGTGTTTCTCCAGTTGGATTTTTGTTGTCAGGATTGTAGCAGCAGCAATAGCAGCAGCAGCAGCAGCAGCAGCAGCAGCAGTAGTAAAGAATGAACTTTATTTTATAAAAAAAAAATTTACAGCACTCTTGTAAGCACATTTCACATATTAACTCATTTAATCCTCCTAAGAAGCCTGTGAGTTTGACAGAACTTGTTGGTTATGGGGGAAAGGCCCTGGGATAAAAGGGGGAAAAAAAGAACCCTGGTTTTTGTTAAATTTGGATTTATTTTGAATTTTGACTGTGAATTCAAAATCCAACTCTCTCTCAACAGCTCATGAACTCAGTCTGGATAATGCTGATGGATGACAATGATGATAACACTAACTGGATGAAAATACCATCCAAGGGCTGGGGTTGTAGCTCAGTGGTGGAGCACTTACCTTGCACATGTGAGGCTCTGGGTTCGATCCTCAGTACCAAGTAAGAAAATAAATAAATAAAAATAAAGATATTGTGTCCATCTACAACTAAAAAATTTAAAAAAAAAAAAAAAAAAAGAAAGAAAATGCCATCCAAACATGGCCTTCATCAGTGGTCACCAGCTGTGTTATCACACATCAAAATCTAAGGTAAGGCCAGACATAGTGGTGCACTCCTGTAATCCCAGCAGCTCAGGAGGTTGAGGCAGGAGGATTAGAAGTTCAAAGCCAGCCTCAGCAACTTAGTGAGGCCCTAAGCAACTCAGCAAGACCCTGTCTCAAAATAAAAAAATAAATAAAAAGAACTGGGGATGTGGCTCTGTGGTTAAGCACCCCGAGTTCAAACCCCAATATCAAAAAAAGCCTAAGGTGAAACACTTCAATGTCCATCTAACACATGGGTGACTGCAAAGATCTCCATGTTTACCAACATGCAGAGGGGGAAAAAAAACAAAACTAAATATTACATTTGTTTTTCATTTTATACTCAGTTGTTTTGAGCAGTATGTAGACAGTTGAATCATCAGAAATCTTAATATCTCTCCTGCCCCCCGACACACACACACACACACACACCACCAACCACTACCTCAGTCTATTCATGGCTGCCCCTCCTCAAACATCCCAGTGTGAGTCTCAGGGTTGGAGCTGAGGAGAGGACACAGGATGAGCAGTATGGGCACCCTAGTCCCAACCCTGCCATTCGACCTGGGGCAGAAGGGGGTGTGCCCTGCCCTGGCTGCTTTCTGAGCTGGGCCTCCCAAGTCAAGATCATAGAAATCTAAGAGTATGGGTCACCTGAGGACCTGGATCTCGGGCAGCTCACCAGGCACAGAGGGGAAGGCACAATCAACCCTCCCTATGACTCCCTCCCTGATACAGAGGCTCTCGGAACTCCAAAATGCTGCTGAGCCCAACTCCTAGAGAGCAACCAGCAACACACAGGGGCCTCTCCCTATGTGGACCTCTACTTACAGCCTCCTGACCCTGCAGCCAGGTTTCTCACGGACTGGATGCCAGATCATCTACAGTAGAATTCTCCAAAGAGCTTCCTAAAGTTGGGGGTTCCTGGGTTCCCCCCCCCAGCCATCCTGGATCTGCTCCCTGGAGTGGAGCTGCCAGGTCTCCTCTGACCAGACCTGTGCTGCATACATAAAGAACCCCTTCTCCAGAGATGTATCACACTGGGTTATAGCTCCTTCCATTTATACAGTTTTAATTTTCTAACTGTGCTTCAATTCAACCAAAATCCAAGGAGGGTCTGATCTGGAGCTATTCTAAGCACAGAGAGTGAAGTCTTGATAGGAGGCCAGACCCTGCCTGCCAGGAAATTACAGTGATTTTAGTTTCACAACAATGCCACCAGACAGAGCATGTGGTAGGACTTTCTTTTTACAAACTAACCAATAGGGCTCGGAGAGTGTAAGTAACCTGTCCAAAGTCACACAGCTGCTTGATGTGCTAGGATCAAATCCCCCTCATTACAGACCCATGCTCTTTGCTCTACCTGAAGGGCACAGAAGACTCTGGTAATAGAGCCAGAATGACAGAGCTAAGAGTGTTCTTGAACAACTAATGGTTCCAAGAATATCCAAGAGGTTCTAATTGGCATTTCAACTCTAAGCAGTTGACAGTGATTGCCTCCATGTGTGGGAGAGGGCTCTGTAGCCACATTCAGGATCACTGACGAAGATGCTGCAACTGATTAATCACGGTATACAGTGGTTGCAGAAGCGGGAAGCAGCTGCACATGTACCACATATGCCCATCTATACACAGAACAATTTACTGATGAGGAAACTGAGGCTCTGAGAGACCGAAGTCAGCCAAGTCTCAGAGTTGAGTTGGGACTAGAATCAAGGTCTAAATTCTACTCAGGAGTATAAGCTTTTCCCAGGCAGTCGAGATGATTGACTGAGAAGTGCATCCCACTGCCAGGGGCCAAGGACATCCTGATGTTAGTATAGAAGGTTCGGTGGAGCCCAAGGGAAGAGGAGGAGGCTGTGGCTGCTCTCATTTATTCCCCACACCTAAACCAGGTGAGATGGGGATGAAATGCATATTACTGAGCCTTCACCTGGGCCAGACACTGTCCTGCAGGCAGTGATGATCCCACTTGGTCTTTGCAATGACGTTGGGAGGGAGCTCCATTTTGCAGATGGGGAAATGGTGGTCAAGCTCCAGTAACCCAAGTGGTTAAGCCAGGACAAGCTCCCAGGTCCTTGTGGCTCCACAGTCCCCCAGGCTGTAAATGGGGGTTTAGTCGTGGGCTTTAGGGTCAGAAGGACCCCAAGTCCCAGCTCTACCGCATAATAGCTCCCCAGTTTGGGTATGTGCCTCAATCTCTCCATCCCTTGGTTTCTTCATCTATAAAATGGGGCAATAGCAGGGCCCAGCTCAGATAGTTGTTAGGATTAGATGGATTAATCTATGAGAAGCTCATGGCTTCATCGGGCACATGGCAAGCCCTCCATAAACAGCAGCCCTTTCCAAGGCCCTGACACCACACTGCCCCAGACATATCACCAGGACATCCGCCAACACTGCTGACCTGAGCAACCCACTTGGAGGAGGCCCCATCCAAAGATCATCGCATTCATTCACTATTCTGAGTTAGGACTTAGAGCCCCACGTGCCACAATATGCAAGTGCTACCTATCGCACAGGGGAGCCATGCCTTTGTAGAAGTTAGGACTCCTCAGAGCAACTGCCACAAGATGGCAGCCTAAGAAGTAGCCACACATGGGCAGAGCTCCTCTAAGTCAGGCCTAGTCTGGGCTTCTCAGGCAGCTGGAGTCCCCCCAGTGATGGTCACACCAGCGGCCCTGGGACCAGCTGGACACCGGAGCCTCTTCACAGCTGATGCTGAGGCTGCAACAGCTTTCCTGTCTTCACTGGGGATGAGCCTAAGAGCGTGGCCTCCTGCTCTTGTTTACTATGTGGTGCCCAGGAATAATTTATGACCACCCCCCACCCTTTAAATGCCTCTCTGGTGGATTAAGAGCCCCAAAGAATATACTTTTTTAAATGGTTAGGAAAAGACACAACAAAATTAACTGTGATTTGTGATACATATGCAAATAAGGTGAGTGACACTGTGATCTATGTTAGGTGTTCTGATTTAATCTGTACAATACCTGGGGGTTTGAATCCAGGTTCTATTTAGGAATATGGCAGTAAAGGGTAGCAGTCTGTATTTCGCACTGTTGGATCCAAAGGAGTAGAGAACTAGGAAGGCTTGAGAACTTACATCCAGTGGCTTCCAGTGTATGCCAGCGTCTCCCTTGAGCCCAGATCCAGGAGCAGGGACATTTCCACCCTCCTTTCATTCCATAAGCTGGTATTTATTGTGCATCTCCTGTTGCTAGGCACCATGCTTACAGCTCTTATGTATTACCTCATTGAATCCACCTCACAAAACCTTATGCAAGTAACAGAACTACTATTATGATTCCCATGTTACAGGTGAGAAAACTGAGGCTCCTTAATATTGCATTAAGTTCTCAGCCCAGAAGTAGTGGATCTGAAGTAAGCTTAGTCTCTCTGACTCCAGTACTTCATTTCTAACAACTTCCTCCTCATATCTTTGCCCCCCACCAAGGAAATCCTAAGCTCACATGAAGGCCCAGGCAGGTGAGGGTGGGGAGTGGGAAGGCCATGGCTTCTCACCATTTTAACTGCTTTTCACCAGAACAGGTGATGGGGGAGAACTGGGCAATGTCCTGATGTCAGGGGCAGCATGATGTGACATTGACTTGATCTTACCAGCTACCTATGAATGCCCTGGTCCAGAGGTAAAACAATCTGTCACCTCAGGCAACAGCCCATATCAAGAACAAGGGTAGCCAGGTGCAGTGGTGCATGCCTGTAATCCCAGCGATTTGTGAGGCTAAGGCAGGAGGATTGCGAGTTCAAAGCCAGCCTGAGCAACAGCGAGGCGCTAAGCAACTCAGTGAGACTCTGCTCTAAATAAAATACAAAATAGGGCTGGGGATGTGGCTCAGTGGTTGAGTGCCTCTGAGTTCAATCCCGCTACACACACACACACACATACACACATGAATGGGATTGGACTCATGTGTCTCTCCTTGTGAATTGCTACAATCAAGAGAAACATTTTCAAAGGGCTGCTGATAAAATTGCTATTTTGACCCTCCTTTTAGCTGAAAACCAGACAACAACAAAATAGCTTTTCTTTGTATTAGCTACATTATAGGATAAGGAGTGAGGGATGGGTTTCATAATTGAGTCTCCAAGTAAAGATAATATCTGCCAAGTAAGCAGGCGAGAACTGACCAAGAATGGGTATAAATGTGTGTGCGTTCACCTGTCCTGTGCTGTGGCTGGGTCTCATCCCAGCATTTCTCAAATCCTTTGTCCAGCCTCCATAGGCAAGACCTGTGTGCCCCCAGACCTCATGGAATGCACAGTCACTGGAGCACACAACCCTGGATTTCAGCTTGGAAAGCAGCAGCCTATAAGGGACAGTCATTGTATCATATTGACAGTCCTCAAAATGGATAAAAAGTTTTAAACAAAGTTAGCTACTCAGAGAGTCAACAAATATTTCCTGAGGACCAGGTAAGGTGCTGAAAATACAAAAAAAAAAAAGATAATCCCTGCCCTTACACAGAGTAGAAGCTACTGGGGGAGGTGGACACCAATCAAATAATCACATAAGCAAGAATAAACTACCAAAAAATAAAAAGAATAAATTAGATAGAGTGGTGGCAATGGAGATGGGCAGGTCCTTTGATGGTACCAGGAGAACAGGTGCTGAGAGCTAGGGTGATGGACGTGGCATGAGTGAAAAGGACGTCAAGCTTGCTTCCCGATGCCATTCACCAGGAGGACCAGGTTGGGGTGGCGGTGGTTCATGAGTATGGTCTTGGGCATGTGAAGCCCTGGGTGTCTCGGCATCATCCAAGGGAGGTATTAGGTAAGCCACTTCCAGGGGCCTTCTGGGCTAGAAATAGGAATTTTGGAGTTGGGCCCTGGGCATGGATGACGCAGATGGAGAAGAGGAGATGGGTTGAGAAGAGGACCTCAAGGGGTCTGAGATCCCAAACTTTGGCATCAGACAGTTTCTGCCTCAGATCCTCCTCTTTCAGGCCTTGGGACCTGGGCCATTGCTGAAGCTTCCTGGCCTTCATTTCCCTCCCCTGTAACCTGCAGTTGTATGCGACTGTCACAAGAGGGACTTGCTGTAATCTCCCCGTGCAACACCAGCTCACAGAAAGCTCTGGATAAACAGTTACGGGTGTAACGTTTTATCAGCAGCCAAGTTCCTCTTACCTCCCAAGGGCTCCCTCTTTTTATTTTCCTTCCTCCCTTCTTTATTTTCTGAACATCCCCATGCCTCCCCAGACTGGTGCAGAGGACAAGTTCAACAATAAAAGTAACAGTAGCTACAACTCTTTAAGCACGGTGTATGGGTCAAGGTCTTTGCTAACAACTTAGGCTTTAACACAGATGCTAACACCAATATGTGAGACAGTCATCATGGCCACCTAGGATTTCAGGCCAGGAAGATGCCCACGGTGACAGAAGAGGCCACGGCAACTCAGGCCTCTCTGACTCTAGAGGCAGAACACTTCCTCCCTTTATATTAGCTCACTGGTCCACTTGGATACTCAGATTATTTTAAAATCAAAATCTTAGTTGAAACCCCAAGAAGACAGTGTTACACTGTGCTCTTCAAGATCCTAGGGATCCACAGGGTACCCCAACATGCTCTGGGAAACACATGGGCCAGTCTGAGATGCCCAACCCCCATGCTAGCCAGAGGAACCCACCCCCAGCTCCTGAGGAAATCACCAGTTTTACAGATGAGAGCGTTTCCAGTTAGTTTGAGGCAAGGCCCTCTGTTCCTTCCAAAATGCAGAAGACGGGATTTTTCTAGTCCAAAGCTCACTCTACTATATCAAGACACCAGTTTTGCAACCACAGGGGCCCTTCCTCTGCCTGATGGGCTCCCATTAGGGCACAAAGAAGTGGGGGCACAAACCCCCCAGGCCAAGAGGCCTCCCTGCCCTGTTTGTGTTTGGTCCCTGGGTCATTCCTTGCAACCCCCCCGGCTGCGGTGTCAGAGGTGCAGGCTTGCACTGAGAGCAGGGTCGCCCTGAGCTGCCTGTTTATTTTCCTTCCTGGACACTTTGGTGACTCGGTATTTGAAAAGCTCCAACAAGGCTGGAATGAGAGTCCACAGGAGAATGGACAGTCACCTCAAGGAGGCCTGCTGGTGATTTGGAATGTCCCTTTGGAAGGCTTTTTAATAAACTTTGTTTGTATCTGCCTTGATGAGGAACACATTTGCCTGGGACTGCACAGCGATGTTTGGTTTTGAGGCTTCCCTTTCTTGGCCTTAGAAGTCCTTGGTGGCAGTGGCTGCCTGCAGGCCCTTGGGACTCCCCTGTGGAGCGCTGACCTGCTTCCAGCTTTGTCCCAGTAACTTTAGTCCCGCTATCCTCCTGGCCCCCGGTGTCCCTGATAAACTCCAGAGCAGAAAGTACAGGGTCAGAGGGTTTGAAAGTTCAACAGGAAGAAAGGTCCCATTACCTTTTTAAGAAGCTTCCAGGACCAGCACTGGAATTTGTTTTTTCAATCCATCTAGCAATGCCTTTGACTCCCGCCTCTCTCAATCCTCCCTTTCGCCAGCCTATAACAATTGCAAGAGTTAATTTTAGTATTTTACACACGCACAACAGTTCCCGTCAAAGACCCTCAGGATGGAGAGGGAGGCATCCAGTCTTCCTCCCGCTGGACTTCTCTCCCAGACACATGTGAACAAGGACTGCTGCCTTCTCAGACTCCTGCGAGTGCTGGGTGTCCCCAAAACTCTGTCTTATTTGACCAAAAAAAAAAAAAAAAAAATGAACCTTCCGTCAAGAGCTAAGTGGTTGGCCATAGGAGCCGGGTGACCCGCCAGGCCTGGGGGAATGATGGCAATACCACCTCTGATGAGCTCACTTCCATCTGGCTCTGGGGTGCCCAAAGTAGAAAGTGGTGTAAGTAAAGCAAGTACAGTAGGCCATGTTCCAGGTCAGGTCCAGTCCCTGTGCTCCCTGTGGCCCAAAGGTATTGAGTATCATCCTGATTGAACCACTTGGGGAAAGTGAGAAACATATGGAGATGAGTAAAAGGAAGGAGAGAAGCCCATTACATTGGTCTTTTTCATTAAGACCAAAGTCAAGGACTTGCTGGAGTCAGCATGGTGTCAGAGGGACAGGGTTTGCCCCTTGGTCTCTGCAGTCTGGATTCCATGCTCAGCTCCACTCTGTCCTACTGTGTGACTCTGGGCAAGTTACTGAGTCTCTCTTCACTTCAGTTTCCTCATAAAACTGAACTGTAAAATGGGGATACTAATAATACCTTCCTTGAGGGGCTGGGATTGTGGCTCAGTGGTACAGCACTCATCTGGCACATGTGAGGCTCTGGGTTCAATCCTCAGCACCACATAAAAATAAACAAATAAAATAAAGGTATTGTGTCCAACTACTTCTAAAATATAAATATTTTTAAAAATTCCTTCCTTGAAGGGTTGGGTTTTTTTAGAGGGGAGGGGGAGTCAAAATCATACATAATGTATATTTAGAGAAATGCATGGAAATATGGAAAGATAAACACCAAAGTTGGGAGAAGGAAGAGAATAAGGGGGTGATGGATTATAGGAGACAGAAAGGTAGGTGCCCACTTTCACCAGGCAGAGAAGGATGGCATAATACCAGGAGAAAGAGAATGCACAAAGAGTGTGTGTGTTATGATGGGCTCAGTGTAAGTAGTACTTCCCCAAATGCTTAATAGTAAAAATTTTTTTTTTCTCTCTCTCCATGTCCTGGGTACCAATGGATGTGGCAAAGGGTCTGCTGCCATCAAAAGCCCCTTGCAGAAGTCTCCTTTGATTCTGATGGGGAACAGACGAGAGAGTTTGGTCAAAGGATCCCTAATCCTTCTTTATTTTGATTCAAAAAAAAAAAACACCAACAGGAGAGGAAGCTGTCCATGTGGACACTTGGGGGGGTCACTTTCATGTTTCGAAACTCAAGAGACAGAGCCGCTCCTGCCTGGCCAGCAGAACTGTGGCCTCCCTCCTGGCTCTGTGGGAGCCCCCATGGGCTGGACTCCCAGGTCCAGGTGGCACCTCCATCCTGATGCCATCCTGGAGGGGCGGGCCAGATATGCGGTGTGAAAACACCCGCTTCCATTCCATCACGTGTCCAAATAAATGGAGCTGTTGATTCAGGCTGATTAGACGAGGGGCCTTTCCTAAAAAGCAGTCTGTGTGAGCCTAAGAAAAACAGGATTTTCGGTGGAATTAGGCTCTTAATCCCCAGCTTCCCCAGCAGAGCCGTGGCCTGGAGAAGCTGAGAGGCCTCCAGAGATGCCCCGTCAGGAGCTGGCTGGACGCTGCATTCCTCCCTTGCCCCCTGCTTTCCAGGCTGCTTCCTCCCACCTAGGCAGATGAGGGGGGTGGAAGGCCTCAGTGGGGGCCACAAACCTTAGCTGTCAGCAGTGGGGTTGTCAAAGGAGCCCCAAATGCCCCTCATCCCCCCAGTTGGGCCAGAAGGTGAGAACCCCAGCAAGCTGTGGTCACCCAACTCGCTCTCCAAGTGGAAACTGATGAAAGGAAGAGCTGGATTTGTGGGAAAACACACACACACACACACACACACACAAACAAACAGAAAAGCAGGAGGAGTGGGCTAACAGGCATCTGGGAAGGAGCCAGCCACTCCCCATTTTCCTATCTCTTAATGTGGGTACCTGAGAGCAGGGACCATGTTGGAGTCACCTCTACACCTGGGGCCTGTCCAGATCCAGGGCTGGCCCTAGCTTCACAGATGCTAGAGGCCAGCAGAGGGATAGACAGCATGGGCTCTGGAGTGAGACCAAGTCACAGTGGACTCCACCTCTGGGAAGACTGTTCATCTCAGTCTCTAGTTGTCTCATCTTTTTTTGCAGGGGGATGGGGAGGTAACCAGGATTGAACTCAGGGGCACTCAACCACTGAGCACATCCCCAGCCCTATTTTGTATTTTTATGTAGAGACAGGGTCTCACTGAGTTGCTTAGGGCCTCGCTTTTGCTGAGGCTGGCTTTGAACTCGCAATCCTCCTGTCTCAGCCTCCCAAGCCACTGGGATTGTAGGTATGCACCACTGCACCACTACACCCTAGCTAGTTGTCCCACCTTGAGAAGGGAACAGCTGCCTCCATGGTGCCTGGACAGCTGCTGTAAGGCCCAAATCAGGAAATGCACATGGAGGGCTTGGCCCTGCTCAGCCACAGCAAATACTTTGTCAACAGTCACTACTGCCCACGATGCCTGGGAGGCTGCAGATTGGATGGGATTGGTGGCCCCTGCTTCAACACAAGGAGCTTAAAAACCAAGGAGATGAGACAGACTTGGGAAAGGAATCCAGGGACCCTCAACCAAAAACTAAAGTGGTCCTAGGAGGAGGTAAAATTTCCAGTGGACAGGACAGTGAAAGGATGAGCAAAATCTGGAAAGGTAGAGAGGATAGAGGATGACAGACAGGAAGGGGAGACAGCAAGAGCCAAGGTGGGATCCTAGAAAAGAGCCTGGTAAAGGCATGAAGTCTACAGCCAGGGCCAGCTAGAGACGAGTTTAGCAAGTTGGGGAAGACAGGTCAGACGGCTGCTTGGCCACTGAGTGCCAAACATGGTCCCTGAGGGAGGTGCTGGGCCTGAGCAGGAAGTTCTGTGTCAACCAGACCCCTCCCTCCCTCACTGCTGTGTGCAGCCCACCTCATCCTCCCTCCCTGGCTTTGTCTGTGTGGTTCCTGCCACCTCCAGTGCCTCCTGAGGTCTCATCTGTCCCCCTATGAACCCACAACTCACCCTTCCCTCTTCCTCAGAAGTCTTCTGTGTGGGAAAAGCATGAACTCCAGAGCCAGACAGGGCTCAAGCCAGTTGTTAACTTCAGTCTCCCTCTTCTGTAAACTGACTCTTGCACATCTGTAAAAGGGGAGGTTATCTGCACATCTGTAAAAGGGGAGCTATCTACCTCCATGGCCCGTAAGGAGGATGGATTTAGATAAGGGGCACCAGGTACCCAGCAGTTCTCTGACACTTAGCAGGTCCTCAGTGGACATTCATGGTGCGAATGGATTCCGAGCCCCTTAACCTCTACACAATAAGGTCCTCCCTGCATCCCATGAAACCCCAATGACCTCTTTTCCTCCTTTTCCTGGGAAGCAGAAAAAACCTTGCTATCATAAGCTCCCACAGGAATGTCCTCTGGTCTCTCAACCAAAAGCCCAGCTCAGCACCCTCGGGCCAGGCATCTCATGGCCTCTCAAAGGTGCATCCAGCACTGCAGACTGCTCTCTTGGAGGATATGTCTGGCCATTCGCTTCTGGGGAGCAGAGAACACTCCACCCTCCCCTGTACCTTCACAGTACCCAGGACAAAGCTAGGCATGGCTGGCAGTCTGGACAGAGGTTGCTACTCAAACATTTTCAAGAGCCAGGCAGGTCACATAAATGAGGGGTAAAGGCTTGATGGGACACAATAGGGCATGGTGGGGCCTATGGAAAGCTGGAAAGCCTTTCTGTGCACTGACTGGCTGATCAAGCGGCACAGGAAGAGGTACTGTGGATACAGAAGTCCTGGATCACTTACTAACCAGGCGACTACAGCCAACTGTAGTGCTGGACATCAGGGTCACTGTCTGTGCCAACAGGCCATCAAACCTTGACCAGGCAGCTCACAAGCTGGTGATGAAGAGCACTTAGGAGAGCAATTCAAAAGCCTGAGGTTCCCTAGACTTGAGGGACTATGATCAGAAGTTCTAATGTTTTCCCTGAGCAAGGCCTCAAATCTCAGATGACCAGGAACAGGTGTATGGTTAGGGAAGCTTCAAAGGCCCCCCGCTGCCCTGCCTCCTATCTCCTCAGGATCTCCAGTGGCCCTGGCTCAAAAGGGGGTGGTAATTGGGTCCCTCTGGAAAACAGCAGAGGCGGCTTAGGGGCAGCTGGAGGCAGCCGAAACTCTATCCCCTCCAGAGCCCTGACATTCTCCTCAGTCCCCTTCCCTCCTGCCAGCCAGGCTGCTGCTTCCTAGGACCACCTGGCTCCCCACCCTCCCCTGTTCCCATGGCTCCCCACAGCTTGCTTCTGCTGCCTAGGAGAGACCAGCAGCTGAGGTGCCCTAGAGCTGTCCCCCCACCCAAGGTCTTGGTGGCAGCTGTCAAATGGCACAGTGACCTCCTTAACGCCCAGCCCCAGCATCACCCTCACCTCCTAAGGCAAGGGGACCCTGGGCCCTCACCTGGAGCCCAGCCTGACCCCAAAGAGTGAGGCCAGCTGTCGTCGGTCACCAGGACAACAGGCTGCCCGTGATCAAGTGTGTTCAGCCACTTCACATCTAAGATGAGTCTGTGATAGTTGACAGGCTCAGGCACCTGCTCTCCACTTGGCACCTTCCAAAGATGCCTGATAGCTCCAGAAGGTGACGTTGTTACACCTGTTTTTCAGAAAACAGCAGCCCAGAGAGACTCAATAAGCCATCAGACATAAATAGAATTCACTCCCAGTTCTAACTACAAACTACACACTCGTGTTATAAGAGTGCCTCATGTGTATCCACAGATGTTTAACTGCTTCCACCAAGGGCCAATCTCTGTTAGAACAGAATGGTGCACTCAACAGATGTGATCCCTGCCTGCGTGACGTTGCTGGAGGTGGGGAGGAGGGGTGGACATTGACAAATCAGAGAAATCTGCAAAAACAAGTAGTAATGTTAATGCTGTGTAAGAACCATGCACTCACATAGACCACTGCCCAGGTCAGACAGGCCATTACCTGTGCTAGTGTCACGGCTCCTATGAGCCAGACCCACACCCAGCTTGGGTCAGGAACCTACAAACTGCTCTGAATGGAAACATCATAAACTCCAAGACTCAACTTATCCCCTATCAGCAAGCACCTACAACAGGTCCAAAGGCTGTGAGACTGGAAGCAGATTCCCTTAGGGTTCATAAGGCATGAAGCCACGGTGGGCAAAGTGACAATCTTGCTGGTTTGCTTTCTTCTTCAGACTTGATATCTCTGTCCTCTTCAAACCAGTGGACTTTGGTCACCATCAAGTCTATATAATGCAAGTGCTCATTATAGTGTTCTTTCAGGGTTTTTTGATATTCGAAATTTTTCTCCCCAATTTTTTTTTTTATTTTGGGAGGCCTATATTACAAAGGGCAATTTGGCAAAATCTCAAGTGAACCTGCTTTCAGTCCCACAGCCTTGGGACTTGCGGCAATTGCTTGTTGACAGGTGATGGGTGGGGGTTGGGATTAATGATGTTTCTGTTCAGAGCAGTTCCTCAATTCCTGACCTGAGCTGGGCAGGGCGGTATCCCAGCCCTTTAATCCAGACACGGCGCTTCTAAAATTGTACTCACACACATCCAAAATTAGACCTAGTTTCTAAAGGACTGGAGGATCTCACATACACATCTGTTTCTAAATGCATAAAAGAACACACAAGAAGTTGTAATAGTGGATGCCTGAGAGGAGAAACTGGTTAAGAAATGAGGTGGGAAAGGCTTGGGTGCTTTTTAAATCTTGAAGCATGTGTCTGTATTACCTGTTCACAAATTAACAGAAATATGTACGTTTGAACACTCTCCTAAAATAAACGGGGATGAACTTTGGATGCTGAATTATATAAACAAATCCAATAAAAATATTATGCTGTGAAAGAAGCCAGATGCAAAAGACTCCATACAATAAAACATAATACCACTGTGTGAAACTCTTGAAAGACAAGTCAATCTATAATGAAAGAAAGCAAATCAGTGACTTTCTGGGGCTGAGACTAGACTATGGGATTGACTTTTCTATCTTGATTGAGGTGTTTATCATTTAGGTGTCTCCATGTGTCAAAAGTTGCCAGAAGGTACACTTAAAATGGATGCAATTTTTGCGTGAACATTATATCCCAGTAAAGTTGGTTTTTAAAATCAATAAGCAAAGAGTTTAAAAGTAACAAAAGCCCTGTTTTGAGAGTCTAGCAGGAAAGGCACTGAATAATAAGCCTGTCCTCACCTGAAAACAGGAGGTTAGGAGGACAAGCACGAGGATCTGCAGGTCAAATCTTCCTGCCACACCCAATCAAGCAAGAGCTATTTTAGAAAATCAGACTTTCTTTTATCAATTCAACATATAATCTTGAGATCTAAACTTGGACAGAAGCAAATCTGTGGGTCGGCCCCTGCTCCTGGCTCTCTGTACAGGTTTGCCAGCAAAGGAGCTCTGTTCCAGTAGCTTCAGCAAAAACAACAGAGGGATCAGCCCCAGACCATCCTCCAGGACACGTCCTCAGGCTTGAAAGGACTCGCAGGGGTTCTCCCAAGGTGAGGTCTTAATCATCTCCATGATGGGTGGTCCAGTTATGTTGAGAGCTTCTTCCCCACTGTCCAAAGGGAGCCACTACCTATCCCTCACTGATGTCCTTCCAGAACATCAACAGCCTGAACAGATGGACCAGTCTGGGTTCTACTGCCCCATCCATCCAGACTTCAGATTGACAGAGGAAGGTCAGGAGCCAAGACTCTTCCAGTAAGAATCAAGGAGCATGGCTGGGGATATGGCTCAAGCAGTAGCGCGCTCGCCTGGCATGCGTGCGGCCCGGGTTCAATCCTCAGCACCACATACAAACAAAGATGTTGTGTCCACCGAAAACTAAAAAATAAATATTAAAAAATTCTCTCTCAAAAAAAAAAATGAATCAAGGAGCAGCCACAGGGCACTCAGGTTCTGTGCGGATCTAAGAAACAGGTCCAAGAGGAGATAGCCATGGGCTGTCCCCAGAGGCCAGAACAACCATCCCCTTCTTCCTCCCCCTCCCCTATAAACACATTTATGTTATTTTCCATTAAATAAATATATATATGGAAAAAATATAAAAATAAAGAAAAAATGTATTTATACACACATTTACATATTAGTTATGTATTAAAATGTTTGTAACAGCATTATAATATGTATCCAAAAACTGAAAACAGTTTAGGGTGTGTAGCAACGGGAAATGGACAAACTGTATTACAAACAGTGGAATGCTACTCAGCAATAAAAACAAACAAACTACTGACACACACACAACATGAATTAATCATTATTTCAAATCATTATGCCGAAAGAATGAAACCTTACCCAAGAGAGTACGCCTGCTAAGAATCCATGTGCATAGCTGGGTGTGGTGGTGCACGCCTATAATCCCAGCAGCTTGGGAGGCTGAGGCAGGAGGATCACAGCTTCAAAGTCAGCCTCACCAACTCAGTAAGACCCTGTCTCAAAATAAAAAATAAAAAGGGCTAGGGATGTGACTCAGTGGTTAAGTACCTCCGGTTTCAATCCCCAGTATCAAATCCATGTGCATAAATTTCTAGAAGAAGCAAAACTAGCCTGGTTAAAAAAAAAAAATCCGAAGAATGGATCCCTCCAGGCTGTGAGGGATCACCCAGAAAGGGGCAGGAGGGAGCTATCTGCAGAGACGGTGACATTCTATGTATTAACAGGGATTTACATTACACACAGGTATGCATTACTGAAAACTCACAAAATGGTAAAGACTGGTTCATCTGTACCTACAGGGGAAAAAAAAGACATAGAACATACATTTAACTCTGCTAAATGATATGCATGCTGCACTGTTTATAAGTAAAATCATGTCTGTAGTTTATATTAAAATACATCAAAAATTAAGATTGATGAATGAACAGAACAGGTAAATGAATAGATATATAATAAAGTAAATATGACAAAATGATAATTGGAGTCATGGTGGCTAGTGTACGTATTATGTTTGGAGATTCTCATAATAAAAGGGTAGGGGTCATTGTCATTAACTTCCTAAATTCTGTATATAGTGGAATCAGGGAAAACTGGGTTCAAATTTTGACAGGGCCATTTCCCCCCTGTCTGATCTGGAATAAGACTTAAACTCCCCAAGCATCAATATCTTAAAACATGAAGGGAAGATGATAAATAACATCTGTGTCTTGGGGTTCTTGTGAGCATGGCATGCAAGAACATATGCAAAGAACTTGGGAAAGTTTATTAGGATCTGAAGCTGCTAAAAAAAAAAGGGGGGGGGGGGCTCCCATTACAAACTCACAGGAATTCTAGGTTAAAAGCTAAATAATACTCAATGTTAAATAGCATAGAGGAATAACTATGATTGACAACAATTGATTATTTAAAAACAGTTACAGGGGATGTTATTGGCCAAATTCTATTGTTATATACTGTGTAGGTATCATGTATGAATATGTAACAAAAAATCCCACCATTTTATACAATTATAATGCACCAATAAAAATGTGTAAAAGTTAAATTAGTGAATGTAAATATCAGAAAGCTTCAAAAATAAATTTTAAAACGTTTTTAAGTAAAAGTCATTTAAGTACTAAAAAACAATAACAACCAGTAGAGAGGATTTTAATGTGCCCAACACAAATAAATAATAAATGTCTGAAGTGATATATATATGACAGTTACCTTGATCTGATCACTCACTACACATTATATTCATGTACTGAAATGTCACATTGTGCCCCATAAATGTTTACAATTATTAGTTGACAATTAAAAATAAAATAAATTTTTGGAGCTGGGGGTATAGCTCAGTAGTAAAGCAAATGCTTAGCATGCACAAGGCCCCAGGTTCAATCCCCAGCACCAATAAATAAAATATATTTAAAACCAAGGAGTAACCAAGGAATGTAGCTCAGTGGTTTGAGGCCCTGAGTTCAATCCTCAGTGGAAGGAAGGAAGGAAGGAAGGAAGGAAGGAAGGAAGGAAATCAGGACTTTTGAAGAATTGCACCCGTAGTGGAAAGAGGGCTAGAAAAATTCACCCACGACTCCAGAGACATAGCTGTAGAGCTGTGTCTTCCTGGTCTCCCATGAGAAATCAAAACACTAAGTTTGGGGGCTGGGGATGTGGCTCAAGCGGTAGCGCGCTCGCCTGGCATGCGTGCGGCCTGGGTTCGATCCTCAGCACCACATACAAAACAAAGATGTTGTGTCTGCCGATAACTAAAAAATAAATATTAAAATTCTCTCTCTCTCTCTCTCTCTCTCTCTCTCTCTCTCTCTCTCTCTCTCTCTCTCTCTCATTTAAAAAAAACACTAAGTTTGCATCAAGGGATACTTTGGAGTTGGTCTTAAACCACCTGCATTGTACAGTAACCCAAAGTCAAAAAATTAACAAATAAACAAAAACAGATCTAAAGCTGGCTAAACCTCCAGGGCACCTGGCAAAACCAGAATAAAATTTCTCTATAAAGCTATTCCTAAAATTCAGGTAGCATAGAATTCTCCTTAAAAAATCACCAATGAACCATACAAAAAGTGTTCCAAGAGCAAGAGTTTGCAGACCAAACAAACAGAAGATATGACATCCCAAGAGCTTCTGATAATTGAACATTCTGAAAGACTGCAAAATAGGTAAAATGACAA